GTGGGATGATGAATTTTTAACACATAAAGATTGATTGATCAATTCTAATTTGTCATTGTCTTCATTATCCTAAAAAAAATCAAACTTAGTAGCCCATGAAACTTTATTCATCACTTTTTTTTTGCTCATAAATTAATGCATCTCCTTAAAAAAATTTCAATGGTGTTGGGACATTTAACAACATTACAACAGTTGTCAACCAGATGTTCATTTCAGCATTTTTATTCTCGAATGCATTAGCCTACGACAAAGAGTGCATTCAATTAAATCTTTATTAGTCAAATTCGGCCAAAATTCATACTTGTATCCTGGATCAAATAATTTAGTCTTCTTTGTCAGATCTTTTTGACAAATCTTGAATACCTTTGTTTTTTATCATGAAATTAGAACTAGTAAAATATACAAATATATATCATTAATATTTATATTTATGTATTTATTATTGCTTATTTTTTTGAGTTTTTAAATTAATAATATATATACAAAAAAAATAAAGTCGCTATTATTATTTTTTAAAGAGTTTTGGCTATATATTTTTTTATTATTTAATTGATTTTCATTAAGTCACAAAATGCTACGAAATTATAAGTCATAATAATATAAAATTAAATTTTGTAGTTGAATTATGCATTTTAACTACGGAGTTTATAGTAAAAAAATTTGTAGTCAATTATCAGTCATTTGTGGTCCATTGTTATGAGAAATAGAAGTAGGTACATCTTGTCTTTCTTTTTGCTTCAGCTACTATTAAGATAATGATTTCGATTAATTATTTGCATATTTGTTCAAACTCGCAAAATTGTTTTTCTTATGAAACTTGTTTTTTTTTTTTTTTTTTGTTCAATCATTAGCTTTTGAATATACTTCCAGCATAACACTCCCAGAACAAGTTAGACTTATGTTTGATAAAGTTTCGGCAAAACCATTAGCCAAAATGTCTCAGACACATTTTTAATCGTCTGATTGATGTGTTTTTGGAGCTCAAGAAAAGATATAATCAAGATACTGAAATTTTTGTTATGCTCGAAGGGGTTCTTTCTTGACCCGTGGAACTTATAGTTGAAATTTTGATATAGTTTCTATAATTTGGAGTTTCATGAAAGCATTTCTTTAAGTGTAGAACAAATATGATAGCCCTTTGTCTAACTGAGAACATCCAATACCTACGAATTCAAAGGGACGAAATCCTTTCATCTAAAGATGAATTGGCCGAAGAAATTTTGAAGGATGAAAAGATGCTTGATGAAATGAGATCTTGTCTTTGTAGCAAGTATGCGGCCACGATGGATTTGGATCACTAATTGGCAGAAAATTTTTAAGTCATTGAGAACAATAAAGATATTCAACCCGAGCTCTAACAATATTTGATTGACGGACAACAAGTTCAAAAGTGAAATAAAATTGTCTTTAGAAGTTGTTCAAAAACAAATTTAGAAGACTAATAAGAAATAGCTAAGAGTTCAGACTTTAAGGATACTTTAGAATAAATTTTTTCTAATCTATCAATGCAATAAACTTTTAAAATATAATAGTTGATTGTCTTTTTGATATTGTAATCAGGTTCATCTCCTTATAAATTGAATCAAATCAACATTGTATACTTATTATAAATTTAGACGACTTAATATATTTTAATAGTTCTAATCACAATATATTTTCATATAAAAATTACTACAGTCGAGATTTACCCAAAATACACTCGAAGAATAATCCTTGCGAATTCTCATATTATAAAACAAAATTCACTATTTTAATATTATAAAATAAGATAAAACCAAAAAATTATTTAGTTGCTATGCGGAAGAAACTTGTGGAATTTTCTATTTCACTTCACTAATAAAAATTAAACGATGGTCTAATTATAAATTATTTTTATTATGAAATATACGAAGTATTAATTAATTTACTTTTGACATATTTTGCAAATTGCTCCATTGATTATTTATTTATTTATTTATTTTTTTATAAATGTAGAAAATGGAAATAAGCAAAGTTGGGCTTCTTTAAAAGGCTCTAGAAATTTGGGCTCTTTGATCTCCAAATAGTATGAAAAAATTATGTGACGAAGAGACAATAAAAACTTTTAAAATCTTTGGATGTGTTTCGTCGGTCTTATTTAATTTGTCATTTTTTCTTTCAAAAATACAAATATATATTTTAATCACTTTTTTAGATTTATAATTTATAATTTATAATTTTAATTAAAATCATAATTTTAATATAGAATTATTTTTATTAAATTATAATTATTTTTACTAATAAATTTTTTAATTACTCACTAATTACACATACCTCCGTGTCTAATGTAAATGAGACAAATTAGCCGGGACGAATGGAGTATTATATAACATAAAATATTTTATTAAAATAAATTTAAAGTATGTATTAATTTTTTAAAAATTAAAATCTCACAAAATAGTTACTATTATATTCTTTTCGTCTAAAGTGAAACTATTATTTTTTCTATTTTTATTAAAATAATCATGTGCTATTAAAAAAATTCTTATCTTTTATATAAATTAAAAATATATTATTAATTTATACATAAAATACAAAAAAGCAAAACATATCCAAATTTATAAAGAATAAAAGTTTATTTGATTTTGGTTTGAATTTGAAATATTTATTATTATTACATTGTATTTTAAATCGTTTTTTATGTGACATTTTATTAAATAATATTATATTTTTATTTAAAATTGTACAATTTAAACAGACCCTAAAATTATACTCCCTCCTTCCCAAACACCCTGCAACATTTTCTTTTTGGTATGTCCCAAACACCCTGCAATATTTCCAAAATAGAAAATAATTAATTATACTTAATCTCTACCCCACACTTTATTCCGACACATCATCCAAATAAAAAAATAAAATATATATTTCTCTCTCCATCACATCACCTAATTTCTAAATTATCCTACTTAATACAACCCACCTAAAAACCCGTGTCAAAAGTAAATATTGCACATTGTTTGGGACGGAGAGAGTACAATAATATACTTCCTCCGTCCCAAAACTATGGTCTTATTTGAGTTGGACACGAGATTTAAGGAATATTGATCTTATATTGATAGTTAGTAAAAAATATGAGTAAAAGGCTCTTTGCCCTTGTGAGTATATTAGTGTAAAAAGTAGTGGCATTTGCGTAATAATAATGAAAATGTACGGATAATTTTACGGTGATATGAGTATTTATGGAAATGAGACTATTGTTTTAGGACGGACAAAAATGATAAACAAGACTATTGTATTGAAACGAAAGCAGTATATAATTAATATCCATATATTTTGTAAATAAGTAAATACATATATTAATTTAGAATGATAGGGAGACTTCAAATACAAATACGTAAGGGATGGCCTGGTGGTGGTACAGGGTTGAACTTGTTGTCATAGGTTCAAACCTTCTAACGCCACACATTTTTTACTCTTACATTGTTCATTATGGTGAGATTGTCGATCGAAAAATAAAAAAAAAATTCGTTTCGAATTGGTTCGATTTGATTCAAAGCATAATATATAAATTTCGGTTTCATTCTGTTATGGTTTTCAATTTTTTATTTCGGTTAACCGAAAAAATCGAATTTCTTTTTTTTTTAAAAAAATATAAATTATATATATTAATTAATAATAACATATTATAATTTTGAGTATTTGTATTTGACCACGTATGAAAATTATATATTAATAAATAAAAATTCAGTTTATTTGGTGTTAAACCTAACCAAACCTTATGTAAACTTTTAGTTTTTAGCTTATTAAACAGTTTTTAGCTGTTTGACCAGTTAAAAAACTAATTTAGGTGTTTAGTAAATTAGCTTTTTGAAAGAGCTTTTTAGACTCAGAAAACTAATTTATGAAAAACTCATCTACCCAGCATTTTGAAAGAGTTTTTTCATTTTAATTTTGATAATTCCTTATTTACCCTTAAAATTTAATTATTTATTTTATACATATAAATATATTTTTATAGCAGTATTTATTAATTATTTTTAATATATTTAATTTATTAAATTATATTTTTATTTTTGTAAATTTAAAATAAAACTATTATTAATTATTACATATAAAATATTTTATTTATAAAATATATAAAATTTTAAAACTAAATCAAATAGAAAAAATAAAAATTATTAATTTATTTATATATATTAAAATAATAATTAACATGATAAAAAAATATATATAAAAGATTTATTATTTTATATTTTACAGAATTTCAATAAAAAAATATTATTTTTTAGTAAAATTTTTTTTCAGATTTAAATAATAAAAATAAAAATAAAAATTTTATAATATTTTTATAATTTTTAATAATTAATAATAAAATATTCTCATAAATTTCAAATCAAAATGAACAAAATTAAATATTTTAAAAAATAATATATTAATGTCTTTAATAGTCATTTTATGTATAAACCACTAATGTCAAATAGTTGTTTTACCACTTTAATATAAATCGCTATTTGAATCAGTTAACAACAAAAAACTATCAGGTAATTGCCAAACGTACCCTTATTCAATTTCGATTTTAAATTTGACCACATATATTCATAGTCTCTAAACCCTGAACCCAATTCACTTTATACCACAAAGTCATTTCTTTTGGGACTATGATGTATTTGTTTGCATAGTTGAAAGTTGAATTTGAGTTTTTAAATAGTAAAATTTTGAATTAAAATATTTTTTTATATAATTTTTTAATATATTTTAGTATAATAGGAAAAAAAAAAAATATATACAATGTTCATCCCATAAATTTAATACATTTGGATTCGATATGAAAATTAAAAAAAAAGAAAAAAATTTAAAAAAATAATAAAAGTAAAAATATAGTTGAAAGTATTTTTTATTGTAGTTAAAAACTAAAAAAAAGTAGATTGTAATAAAAATAACAATATTTACTGCAAATAAATATCGAATAAAAAATAATATTTAAATATTGATTTTATGACTTTGATAAAATTAATAGTATGATATAAATTTAACCAACGGACTTTACGATGAGTGTGTTTGCTTTGATATTTTGAACAAAAACAACCATAACAATAATGTTTTTCTTATCATTTGCATCGCCGGAATTGAACTTACAAATTGGCGGCCGCCTTTCCAAGCATTCGATCGCCGCCAACGGAGCACACAAAATCCTTCACATCATCAAACAACTTGTCGGAATATTCTTTCTCGAAGAGCTCGATGGCGTGACATCCGCCGTCGACGAACCGCCTCGTCACTTTCACTCCACGTTCCTCCAGCAGCTTCGCCAGCTCCCGCTGTCTGTCCACCAGCGGATCTCCGGTGTACCCCGCCACCATGCTCGCCGGCAGCCGCCGGATCCTCTCGTCCCCGGCCGTCGCCGCCGCGTCGCAGTACACGTGTCCTCGATCGGCACCCGCCGGCAGCGCCAGCGACCACAGCAGATCTGTCACGTGCGACGGCACGAGGACATCGTCGTTGTGCTCCACTTCAGATTCCGTCCGCCCCACGCCACCGAAGAACGCCTCGTTCATTATCAGCCCTACGATCTCCGCCGGCCGGAGATCGAGATCGACGGCGCGTAGCGCCGCGTGGTAGACCATGTTCCCGCCGGCGCTGCTCCCCATTAAAAAAATCCGCGAGAAATCGGCGAGCTCCTTCAACCAAGGATCGGCGGCGGCGGCGCAGCCGCCGGCTGCGGCAGCAATCGCCTCCGTCTTCGCCCAGTTGATCGCGTCCATGGCGTCGTCGTACGCCGCCGGGAGGCGGTGCTCCGGCGCCAGGCGGTACTCGACGGAGGCGACTACGGCCGGCAGGCGGGCGGCCAAACGGCTGGACGATTTGTGGAAGAACAACGTTGCGGCGCTGAGGAGTATAAACCCGCCGCCGTGGAAATAAATTATGAGCGGAAGCTTGCCGGCGGCGGGAGGGGCGGTGGGGCGGAAGAGGCGGATGGAGGTGTTGCGGGCCGGGTTGAGTGGGACGTCCTTGGAGAGAGCAACGGCGGTCGGGTCCGATTCCGGGTCCGGGTTCGCGGGTAGGGTCGGTGGCTGGTTGATCCTTGTGATGGATCCGTCCGGGTTGGCGACGAGGCTGAGGGATTTGTAGGCGGCGGCGTCTTCCGGCGACGCCCCCGGAGGCGGCTGCCCGGCGCCGGAACGGGCATCGGGCCGCGGCATCATTGGTATAGAATTATTAATGAATGGGAAGATTGAAGGTTGAAAATATTTATGGATTTGAGTTAGGGTTAAAGTTATTAGTTGGGAGGGGGCCGTACTGTGCATTAATTGCTGCATTAATTGGTATGTATTATATAGTTGGGTTGTCTTCAAACCCTGCTCAATTTATTAGGTATATACCGACGATGAAGTAAAATTGTCTCGAGCGCTAAAAAAAAAAAAAAAAAAAAAAAAAAAAAAAAAAGAGGCTATTTGTAGCAAAGTTTTAGTGGCTACAATTTTTTTTTTACAAAAGTTATTTTTTGTTTCGAATAGTATCATAACAAATGGTATTTTTGATTTGATCTAACACCTTTTCTTTTGTTGAGGTATATTTCCGTTACAACTACAATAATTTTATTTTACATATTTCAAAACTGTTCTGCATATATTTATTTTGCAGAAATGGTCATTCGTCATTCGTCATTGGAATTGACACGTCATTGATGATGTGGCTTGCCCGTGGTGATTTCACGCTGACGTATCTGATTTGTCAGTGCCACGTGAGCGACAAGTGAATTTTCTTAAAGAAATTCTTTTACATAAAAAAAGAACAAAAATTCACATGTCGTCTACATAGAGCTGACAGATCAGACACGTCAATGCCAAATTATCACCAACAAGCCACATTATCGAGAACGTGTCAATTCCGATGACAGAGGATCATTACTGCAGCAATAAATTAGTTAAGGGACATTTTCATATAAAGTCCATTTGAAATCCTAAAATGATAATGGACATGTGTGAAACTAAATAAACAGTTTATTATATATTAAAAATCAATTTCATTTTTAAAATATTACATCAATATCTATTTATATAACATCAAATAATTATTCAAATTAAAAAAAATTACTGCTCAAAACTTAAACTCAAAATCCAAATCTCCTGCCAAACACAACATTAGATAGAACATTCACAAAATTTTTCCTCCCTCCCAAAAATATTGACGTTCAATAAAAAAGTAATGACGATAACTTGTACAAATATTTCCCACACTACTATTTTTATTTTTATATTATATATTAAAAATAAATTTTATATTCTAAATAGCAAATCAATATATATTTATGTAATATCAAACAATTATTCAAATTAAAATTTTTACTATTTAAAATTTAAACTTGAAATCTAAACCCTAACCAAAACACCATTGTTGGCATATTCAAAATTGTCAAACCCTTTTGTTTCTACTTTTGGCATATGAGCAAGTTGCAGGATGTTGTTGCAGGTTCTGTTTGATACCATTTCGGGAAACCTGCCAACTACAGAGTTGACCGAGTTACAGCTTTTGGATGCATCTTGTGTGTTCTACACTCAATGGAACAGGACAAATGAATATGCATTGGACAGAGGACGTGCAGGAGAAGCTGCATGTATTGTCCTCTCATTCTGGATGGCATTAAATGACCTTGAACACACTGCCCTAAAAGTTGTCACAGTCAACTTTTGTCTTTTGTGTAATGTGTATATATTTGATATGGATGTTTGTTTGTATTCGTGGGGGAGCAACCAGAACTTAGAGAAGTATTCTCTTCACCTGTTAGAGTGTTGAGAGAGCTCATCCATGGAGGATTGAAGACGAGAAGAAGGATTCTTGGAGTCGAAGCCGAAGAAGATATTCATCCGGTAAACAACCTTATTCTTAGCTTGGTCGCTGGCCTGCTGGAGTTGTTGCGGTAGAGTAACAGCCAGTCCATGAGAGTTTGTAAAACTAAATGGAGCTTGGGTAGAAGATAGGTTGGGTAGTTCGGTTTGGTGTCTTATATGGTGTAAACCAAGTGTTTGGTTTAGTTAAGACTCCTGGATTGGAATCCCCTAGACGTAGGTTGGAAAACCGAACTGGGTAAACAAACTTGGTGTGTTGTTTTTCTTTCTGCACATATTCAGCCATCGATTCGTGCATGAACACACACCTCTGTTATAACCTCGAGACAACTACGTTGTAAAGCTGTGTTTACGTCGAACGTTTCACAGTTCCGCTGTGCAAGGTACTCGGAGGCGTTGGACCTCTTTCGCACCCCTCTCCGCGACTTCCAACATCTGGTATCAGAGCAGCGTGCTCAATACCCCGAGTAGATCTGTCCGTGGTTCAAGATGAGTCGTGAAGTAATCTCGTCTATTCGTCCACCTGTGTTCGATGGGAACAACTACACCTACTGGAAAAATAGGATGGAGGCATATCTGTTAACTCTTGTTGATGAAACTTGGGAAGCTGTAGAGCTTGGCTGGACTCCTCCAACCAAAGTTGTGCCTGGAGAAACTCAGAACGACCCCCCAACTATCATTCTAAAGTCGAAAAATGAGTGGACACCTGAAGAAAAAATTGCTGCTGGTGGAAATGCCAAAGCCGTAAATGCCATATTTGCTTCTGTCGATGAAGTTCAGTTTCGTGTCATCTCAAACTACAAGAAAGCAAAAGATGCATGGAGAGCCTTGGAAAATGCATTCGAAGGGACTGCTGAAGTTAAAGAAACAAAACTCCAAAGGGTAGAAAGTATGTTCGAAGCCCTGAAAATGACTGATGATGAAACGATGTCTGAGTTCTACACTCGATTCAAAGATGTGGTGAATCAAGCATATGCTCTTGGCTTAGTATATGATGAACAAAGGCTGGTTCGAAAGATGCTGAGAAGTGTGAACAAAAAGTTCAAAATCAAAGTCTCTACTCTTGAGGATAAGAAGAAAACCAAGAACATGAATCTTGAAACATTGAATGGTATTTTCATGAATTAGGAGATGAATCATATTGAAGAAGAAAGTTCAAAAGGGATTGCTCTTACTGCCGAAGATCTGGAGTTTGTCGGATCTGATGAAGAAATGTCTCTGCTATCCAAGAAGCTGTCTCGAATGATAAGTGAAAAGCGTGCTCGAAAATACTACAATTCTGGAAACAGAGGTCACTATGGTGGTAAAACAACTGAAGAACAACGAAAGTATCCAGAACACAAAAGTGTTGGTTACAATAAAGAAAAGGGAGCTTATGATAAAAGCTACAATAAGAAGTTCAACACTGCTTCTAGGCCAGAAAACTCAAGTGATCCGAAATGCTTTGCATGTGGCGGAGTTGGTCATGTGAAAGTGGAATGTGCTACATTCAAGAAGAAAGGTAAGCATGCATTTCAAGCTACCTGGAGTGATGAAGAAGGCAGTCAAGAATCTGAAGATGAAAGTGATAATGAAAGCGTTGTTGCTTTTGTTGCCAAAGAAGGAGAATCTAGCAAAGGAAAAGAAAGTGTTCCTGAAGAAGAATGTAACAGCAACGACACAATCGAGATGGATATCTATGAGCTAATGGAAGCTTATGAGGAAGTTGTAGCTGAACAGAAAATTTGTGTTAAGAGAAACAAGGATTTGATCAACACAGTTTACCGTTTGGAAGCTCGAGTTGAAAAAGCTGAGGAAGTAAATCAAGAAATGTTCGAAATCAATAAAGGACTTCAGAATGACGTCAAGCAGTTGAAAATGAAGTGTGATGATCTGAGAGGAGAAAATGATAGACTCAGAAAAGGAAAAGACAAACTCGATGAAGTTTTATCGATTGGAAAGCCATTTGGAGATCATCGTGGGATTGGTTATCAAGAATCCATGAAGGTGAATCCAACTACCTTTGTGAAAGGAGGTTTGCTTACTGATGTGAAGATTCCAGAGAAACTTGCAAAAGGGAAGAACACTGAAGGTCCCAAAGAAAACAGAAGGGAGAGACAAAATCAAAATCGCAGAAGGAACAGACGTGTCAACGCGTCGTTACAACAGAAGAGTAACTGCAAATATTGTTTTCGATTTGGTCATGCTGAATCTCATTGTTTCAAGCTAGCTAGGGATTTGATGTCTGGAAAGAAGGTTAATTGGCCCTCATATGAGCTGAAACAAAGGGTGAATTTCAGAATGGAATGGAGACCTAAGAAGAATCAATCTAAGATGATGTGCAATGTCATCCTATCTAGTCAAGAAGCAACAAATTCATCCCGATGGTATTTCGACAGTGGATGTTCACGCCATATGACGAATCAGAAGCATCTATTGAAGAACTATGTAGCTGACACTTGTGGAGAAGTGATATTTGGAGATGGAGCCAAAGGAAAAATTGTGGGCTATGGTTCTCTCGAAGCCAAAGGTATACCGAAGTTGACGAAGGTATATTTTGTTGAAGGCTTGAGTACTAATCTCATTAGTATCAGTCAGTTATATGATGATGAGATGTTAGTGAAGTTCACTAAGGATGCTTGTGAGGTTTACAACAACAAGAAAGAGTGCGTGATGACTGGAAAAAGGTCAAGGAACAACTGCTACTTACTTGACAAACCAGTAGATGTTGCATTGATCTCAAAAGATGATGAAGCCCTTCTATGGCATACAAGACTTGGCCATGTCAACCAACAGAGCTTGATGAAGTTGAGCAAGCAAGGAATTATCAGAGGACTTCCAAAGTTTTCGAAGTTACCTAACTTCGTTTGTGGTGATTGTGCTCGAGGAAAGCAGAAACGTGTCTCTCATCCGCAGTCGGAACATCAAAGCAGCAAAACTTGTCTTCATTTGCTGCACATGGATTTGATGGGTCCAGTGGATACACCCAGTCTTAGAGGTAAAAAATACATACTTGTTTGCATTGATGATTTCTCGAGATATACATGGGTTGATTTTATGAAAGAGAAATGAGATACTTTTGATATCTTTGAAAAATTGTGCAAAAGACTGATGAATGAAAAGAGATCAAAGGTTAATCGAATTCGTACCGATCATGGTAAGGAGTTTGAGAATCAAAAGTTTGATGGTTTTTGTTCTGATCTTGGAGTACTGCATGAGTATTCACCCCCGAAGACCCCACAACAAAATGGAGTAGTCGAAAGGAAGAATCGAACACTTCAAGAAATGGCTCGATCAATGATGCAAGCCAAAGGTGTTGCAAAGTACTTATGGGCTGAGGCGATGAACACTGCATGTTATGTGATCAACAGAGTATATTTGAGACCCCACACTGAGATCACACCGTACGAGCTATGGAAATGAAGAAAGCCGAATGTGTCATACTTTCACACATTTGGATGTCGATGCTATATTTTGAAGGATAGGAGTCATCTTCAAAAATTTGATGCAAGATCAGATGAAGGAATATTCATTGGTTATTCTCATAACAGCAAAGCTTATCGCGTTTATAACAAGAGGATGAAGAAAGTTATGGAATCGATGAATGTAACTTTCGATGATTCTCGTGTGGAAAGGAGATCAGTCAATCAACATGATGATGAAGACCTGATACCTTTTCCTACTATTCAGAATCAGAATGTCTTACCTGAGGTTCAAAATTATCTACCCCAGATTCCAGAAACAACTCGTGATGGGAGTTCGATGTTGTTCGATTGGAGTGAAGCAGATGAATCTACTGAAGTTACCACTGCTGCAGAACAACCTGGAGAATGTCAATCTGAAGCTGAAGTAAGGAGATATGGTTCAAGAATTTCTAAGAACCACCCTATTGATGCTGTCATTGGAGATCCACAAGAAGGTCGTCGAACCAGAGGAAAACAAATTGATTTTAGAGAATTTGCTGGCATGAATTGCTTTGTGTCTAACATTGAGCCAAAGAACATTGAAGAAGCGCTGAAAGATGAATATTGGATCAGTGCCATGCAAGATGAGTTGAATCAGTTTGAAAGGAACAAAGTCTGGACGTTGGTAGAACGACCAGATGACATCAATGTGATTGGAACAAAGTGGATATTCAAGAACAAATCTAATGAGAAAGGGAATATCACAAGGAACAAAGCTCGGCTAGTTGCACAGGGATACACTCAGATTGAAGGAGTTGATTATGATGAAACGTTTGCCCCCGTTGCAAGAATTGAAGCCATAAGGTTATTACTCTCAATCTCATGCTCACTTGGATTTTCTCTATTTCAAATGGATGTCAAAACTGCATTTTTGAATGGCTGGATCAAAGAAGAAATATATGTGGAGCAGCCTAAAGGATTTGAAGATCCATTCTATCCAAATCATGTCTACCGATTGAGGAAAGCTTTGTATGGATTGAAGCAAGCACCCCGTGCTTGGTATGATCGATTGTCTACCTTTTTTATTGGAAAGAAATATACCAGAGGATCCACAGATAAGACGTTATTCATCAAACATAAAGGTACTGATGTTATGATTGCTCAAGTTTATGTCGATGATATTGTCTTTGGATCAACGACAAATAAGTTGAAGGATGAATTTGTAGAGTTCATGCATTCAGAATTCGAGATGAGTATGATTGAAGAGCTGACATATTTCCTTGTATTAAAAATTAAGCAATGTCATGATGGGATATTTCTGAACCAAACAAAGTATGCAAAGAATATGGTTGAGAAGTTTGGTATGAAGAGTTCTAAGACTGTTAGAACACCGTTGGGACAACAGGACAAGCTGTCTAAAGATGCTGAAGGAAAGGATGTCGATCAGAAGTTGTATAGGAGCATTATCGGAAGTCTGTTGTATCTTACAGCTAGCAGACCCGATATCACATTTTGTGTTGGTGTTTGTGCTCGATTCCAATCAGCCCCGAAAGAATCTCACTTGAAAGCCGCAAAGAGAATTTTGAGGTATATTAATGGAACATCCGAACTTGGATTATGGTATTCAAAGAGATCATCACTTGATCTAATTGGATTTACTGATTCCGATTGGGCCGGATGCTGTGATGACCGGAAGAGTACGACGGGAGGATGTTTTTACATTGGTGAAAATTTGATCAGTTGAAGTTCCAAGAAGCAAAGTTCGATTGCTTTGTCTACTACTGAGGCGGAGTATGTAGCCGCTGGAAGTTGCTGTGCGCAATTGTTATGGATCAAGCAAATGTTGAAGGATTATGGAATTGAGAAGGAGTCGTTTGTACTGTGGTGTGACAACACTAGTGCAATCAGCATATCGAAGAATCCAGTTCAACATGGTCGAACGAAGCACATAGAAATCCGATATCATTTTATCCGAACGCTTGTGGAAGCTGAAGTGTGCAAATTGCAGCACATTGGAACTAATTTTCAAAAGGCAGACATCTTCACCAAAGCGTTGGATTCAGAGAGGTTTGAGAAATTAAGAAGAGAATTAGGTATGTGTTCATACCTTAACTAGTGCGGATTATTGAAGGAATTAAGTCCAATATTCATGGGACTTTATCTGGATATATTTTGGAATATTGGGTAAATATAAGGAAAGGAGAAATACGTGGCGGAATATTATTGGAAGGGAAATTCATAGCCTTTTTAGGGTTGCAGAGTCTGCAGCCTTGGACAGTGTTCTGACGTCAAAACGTCGCTCTGACATCCCACGCGCCTGGATTGATGGGAATTAATGGAGGTTGCGTGTGAAGTTTTTTTTTGATTCCCCTGTATCTATATCTTCGGATCAGAGTGCACATACATCACTCATCCTTTCTCTCCAAACCCCAATTTCAACTTGTGAAGGAGTTTTTCTCTCAAAATCTCCAACCATGGTGAAAACACGTTCCGGTGGAGTTGCCAAGGATGTTAAGCAGAAATCTGTTTCAAAGAGGAAAGTTGGAACTACAAAGAAAGGGAAAAAGTTGCCTGAACGTTTTTCCCCTGTTCTTGAAACCGTTCATGAACATGTGATGGAAAAACCTGATCGTGAAGTTGAGATTCCAGCAACTGATGTAGCCCATAATGAGGGAACCGCTGTCTCAACTGCTGAAGATCATTCTCTTTCTGAAGGACTTGAAGGTCATGTAGCGAAACATGCTGTTGTGCATGAAATTGATCTAAATGAAGTCGCACCCATGGAAACTGCAAATGAAGATGAAGTCGCTGTTGAAATGGCTGGCACACAAGAAGAAAATACTGAGGAGAACCCTGTTGATGTTCAAGAAGTTGAAACTGTTACTGGTGGTGATGCAGAGGATGCTACAATCACAAAAGAGGTTCCTGCTGTTGATGAACCTGGAAGTGAGGCTGTGCTTGAAGAGGTACCTGATGAAGACATTGAAGGAGTTGGAACAGAAGTACCCCAACCCGTGGATATGAATTTTGAAGCTACAGAGGTAGAACAAGTCATTCCTGAAAATGTGATTGAGGAAGAAGAAGCTCTTCCTATGGAACACCCCGATATTGATGAAGAAGAAGAAGATGAGTTGGACTCTCTTCGTCTGTCCTCTGCTTTGGACAGACTCCGGAAAAGAAAACATGGCAGTTCATCTCGCAATGCCCCTGCCCCTGCTAAAAAGACTTTCAAAAGGATTAAGGCAAAGAGTCGAAAGTCTAAAGGAGTTTCTGATCCTCCTACTGTCCGTGAAGATAAAGCGTTGAATGAGGCATATTATTATGCTTCTGGGCGTCGCTATGCTCAGGATATTCTTGCTGGAAGGACTGTGATTTCAGAAGCTCAGTTTATTCGAAGAGCGTATACCGATGTAGGATTCCGTGCGTTCCTTGAGGAAAAGCATTTGTTGTTTTGGGCGACCGGTTGGAGCGTTACTGTCCTCGCCTTGTCAAGGAGTTTTATGCCAACTTGAGTGGGAAGGTACTCGATCCGAACTCTCTATGGTATCATAAGATATATATTCGTGGCAAAATTTTGGAACTTAGCCCTGCAGTGATCAATGAGTTGTTACAACTGCCGGCGAATGATGAAAATAAGCTGCCATCTGAGCTGATTGATGAATCAACAAAGGAGGTTGCCAGAACCATATCTGCTGGAAATGCTTCGTCATTTGGACGTTCTGGAGTGACTGGAACAATGCTGACAATGAAATATCAGTGTCTCTTTAGACTTTGTGGATGCAATATCTTACCAACCGTCAACAATACAAGTATCAGTACTGATATGGGTACTCTCATCTTCTCTATTGATAAACATTTTGAGCTAATTAATTTTGGCTATTTGGTAATCAAGAAGATGATTGACTTTTGTTCGGATTCAAAAGTGGAATGGACACGATTGCCCTATCCTGGTTTAATTTGTTTGTTCTTGAGTTCCAAGGGAATTCATCCAGAACCGGATGAGGAGGTGTTTCCCATTCGATCATTTATTGCCCAGTCCAACCTCAAAAAGCTTCACAATGACTTTCTTTTCGGTGCCCCATTGGATGCCGATGCTCGCATAGAGAAGTGTAGGGCGCTACTGACTGAAGTCATGAGGGAACAATCTGCTCTGTCTGCTGCTCTCATTGCTCAGAATAGAAAAGTGGCACAGGCCATGAGGCTGATGCCTCGCAAACCTGGAAGCGTCGATGATGAGGACGTTGATGCCGATGATGGAGATGGTAATGGTACGGAGGAAGCCGACCCTTGACCACCTCTTTTTGGCCTCTGCTGCAATGCAAGGGGGAGAATGCAGCAAACCAGGGGGAGTGTCTGCTGTTGAGGAGGAATTTGGTTAACACATTTGGATGATAAAGCCGCTTGTGGCTTGTTAGAATTGATGGTCTGTAATAACTCTTAACCGGATTGTGATTGTGATTGTGGATGTGTGAATGGTGTGTGTTTGCTGTTTATTATGCCTTGCTGCATATGCCAAAAAGGGGGAGATTGTTGGCATATTCAAAATTGCCAAACCCTTTTGTTTCTACTTTTGGCATATGAGCAAGTTGCAGGATGTTGTTGCAGGTTCTGTTTGATACTATTTCGGGAAACCTGCCAACTACAGAGTTGACCGAGTTACAGCTTTTG